GGGCTCCGACGCGGCCCCTGGGGAGGAGGCGGGGACGACTACGACGACGACGGCGCTGCGCCGCCGCCCCGCCCCCGACTCGCGCCGCCTCGCCCGGCCGGGCCTCGCCCTGCCCCGCAGCCACGCCGTGCCCCTCCTGGGGGCAGTCCGCCCCTCCGTCCTGATCCTCGGTCCCACTAAAAACGAATTGCTAACAGGTCACCCCACAGACAGGGCAACGCTGGTGATGAGCATCTCGTGCCAAGCACTGAGCTTCACCTGTGCGCTCTCATCCAACCCTCTTCACAGCCCCGTGACATGGGGGCCACAGCCTCATTCTGGAGGTCGTTGGCACCCAGGGAGATCGGCAGTCTCACACAGCAGCGATCTGCTCCCTGGTATCTGGCAGCAGAATCTCGGTTCTTACGTACTCCCTTTTTATCTGCCATTCTCAGATCAGGGGTCAGCCAGCGACAGGGCAGGGACCAAATCCAGTCTGTCGTTGAGACTGTGAAAAGTATACGCAGTTCAAATGTCAGTGTCCATAAATAAAGCTTTATTGGAACGCAGAGGCCCCCATTTGTTTAGTACGGTCTGCAAACCTGAAATACTTGCTACATGACCCTGTACAAAAAAAGTCTGCTGCCTCTAAATCCTCAAAAACTCTTTCGATCTCAAATCCTACTTAGGATAGATGGTTACAATAGCATTCTCATGTTTATGCAGTCCTTCAGCATTTTAACAGCCTCATCCGTGGATGCAGACACCATATTTTCTGAAACAAAGCTCTCTAAGGAGATGACACAGAAGTCAAAGCTTGAAGGATTTAGCCAGGCCAAGAGCTTTCCAGTCAGCAGGCACATGTGCAAAGACGGTCACAAGAGAGAGCTTGTCCTGTGGAAGAACAGAAAGGAGGCTGGCATAGCTGCCATATAGGAGATACAGTTATCAGTGTTTCACAGATGAGGAAATTATGCCTGAAGAGATTAAATATCTTACCCAATGACAGAGCAAGAAAGGGGTATAGCTGGAAAGCCAGCTTTCTTAATCATTATCGCCCAGCTAAATTTAAATTATAAGCTTTGTGAAAACAAGAGTATTTGTCTTTTAAGAATTTTGATGATCTCCCATAGCTTCTAGAACACTATAACTACACAACAGGCATTCAAAGTCTGTTTCTTTCTATAACACCCAGCCATCTGGAATTGCTTCTAACCACATGTCCAGCGGAAGGGAGGGGGAAAAAAAACTTCTCCAAGGTCAAAGGCTGGGATCCCAGTACTGGCTAGCTGCCAAATAAACAAACAAAAAACTTCGACTTTGAAATTTGTTGCAATTCTCATTTCTTCTCGATTGCCTTTCCAAGTTGGTAGTCTGAAGTTGGTATTAATATGATTGTTGTCCTAGTTTCTAATTTTTAAGTTTAGTTATCTATATATTTTTAAACATAGCTGTGTTTAGAACCCACCCTGAGGTTCCTGTTATTGGAGCAAATTGTAATCAGTAAAAATTCTAAATATTTATCTTCCTCACTTTGAGTTCTCTATCAGTATCCAAACTCCTACGTATCTGTCCCAATTTCCAAGTGTTAGCCTCACATACTCACACTCTGGGAGAGTGAACAAATCCAGCAACATGCCTCCTGTGAGGTCTCCTCTAATAGGCTCCTTATCCTTGCCCCTTAGTTGGTTTTAATCCAAAAAAACAACCTTAAAAATGCAATAAGGTTTACAGGTGTGGGGATTAGGAACAACAATAACAAAAATGCAATAAGGTGCAGTGAATCACACATCATGTCCTGCCATGTGGTCTTACATAAGGGGGAAGAGTCTAATTTGAAATTTTAAAGAATCTCATCACTGGAAAGTAGAAATCCAGACTTTTTTGTCCAGATTGTCTAAATTTACGGGTAAAAAGGAATAAAAAAGAATATGTCATCCTGCCACACATATGGCTATTGGAGCAACGGCTGCCATCTTTATGCATGTCTGTAGCCCTGTTGCTTTTTGTGGAAAAGTTGCTACCTGTGGTATTTCTTCCATAAATTACTTTCTCCCTCAATATCTATATACTCGCTGCATGTGGACACAAATATTTATTATAATTTAAATAGTGAGCTTTCCGCCAGGAATATTTTCTCTGAAAAGAAAAAGAAAGTAGATCTCCAACTTCCAATCTCCCTTTCCTACTCCTTTTCTGATGTTCTCAACCAAAATGTTTTGCAGGAAGAGTAGAGACTTTGGTCTTTTTTTCCTGAGTTCCCCAAAGCCTTTAATGAGTAAATTGAGATTATTTGCCTTGATTCAATGGGTGGATAAATTGGAGAATTGAAAAATTGAGTCACCACTATATAAGGCCTCCAGTTGGCAAGCAAATTGTACCACGAAGGGGAAAACTGAATTTCTGACTCACAGATTCATGCCTGGCACAAGCCAAGCAGACAGAGAAGATAATCCAAAGCTGTAAAAACTGCACTCTTTGGCTTCATCTTGAGATGTTGTCAAGAGAGTTTCCAAAGAGAAAGTTATTAATTTCAGATTGCTGCACTTAGAAACTTATTTCCCCACAGAATAACAGTAATACTTTCCATGTGCAATACTTTTTATGTGAATTGCTGACTCTGAATCATTCATCCTGAGAGAGAAGAGAAACATGGACAAGTAGGAACGTGGCTTATGTCTGTATCCCCCATTCTGCCATTTAGATAAAAATCTCCTCCAGGATAGATGAGATCTTCTGTCTTTTACATCCACACAAGGCTTTAGCTAGGCAGTGCTAAGCTCAGTAAGTAACCAAGAAATGTTTGTTAAATTTGTTTAAAGCCTCATTAGTTTACTATCTCATTTGAGGCCTTCAACTTCTCCAGCTAACCTTTACAAGGCTCTGACTGAAGCATGCAGTTTCATTTCTACTGACTTGATACTTTTTAAAATTTTCACTATACTATCATGAGTTTCATTAAATGCAAATGGTAATATCTTCATATTAAAAATAAAGAAATTATCCACTGATAACTACTGCTGCTGTGGAATACTTCCTGGTCTTGGACCCTATCACACATCATCTCTTTAATACTCATAACAAACCTATTTTGCAGATGAAGAGATTCAGGGAATTTACATCACTTGCTCAGCTACTGAGTGGTGGAGCCAAAACGCAAACTCATCTGTCTGACTTCAAAACATGAGCAGTGCTCTGTGCATGGAGGGAAATACAGGCTATAGAAGGACCAGTCTCAACCTTTGGGCTCATCACGATTGAATAGAGAAGATGGTAAATACATACTCAAGACATTTTTAAAATATAAAAACTGCAAGTTAATTGTGTTGAGCTATATTAACTACTACTGAGAGACAGTGGGGAGAATTATGTGGCCAGGTGGGATAATCAGGTAAGGATTCGGGAGAAAAGGTTTTGAATGAGAAAAAGGCTTTATTGCGATGGGAAAAGGAGAAGGCATAATATGTCCTGAGTATGCATGTAAAAAAGTTTAGACCAGGGCTTAGCAAACTTTTATGTAAAGGGATAGATAGTAATTATTTTAGGCTTGTGGACAACAACCTCTCTGTTGTAACTACTTCATTTTGCCCTTGTATCATGAACACAGCCATAAACAAAACCAAACAAATTGGGATGGCTGTGTTACAATAATATTTTATTTATGGACATTGAAATGTGAATTTTAAAAGATTTTCACATGTCACAAAACATTCTTTTTTGGATTCTTTTTCCAACTATTTAATAATAGAAAAACTGTTCTTAACTCTCAGGTCACACAAAAACAGGCAGTAGGCTGGATTTGGCTCCCAGGCAGTAGTTTGCCAACCCCTAGTTTAGTAGCAAGAAAAAGAAAAGAAGTAATTTGCTAAGAGCTTGAACAGCAAATTTAAACCAGAGAATAATGCAGAAGACCTACTGGAAAGGGGAGGGAAAGAGAGAAGGGGATAAGAATTTATAAAGGATCCTAAAACACAGGCAGATAAATGACTTTTACAAAAGTGAGTAAGAGTAAAAGGTTTAGTCAAATAGGAGTCCAACATGGGACTCCTGATGCTTTGGTTTACTTTCTTGCCACTGGCATGCAACTGATTCATTCATTCAACAAATATTAATTTAGTACCACTCTGAGTAAGCACTGTGGCTTTCTGCCTAGACCCTGAAACTATAAAAGAATGGTCTATCATTTATTTTCCAAAGTGAAATGAAGAGATGCTAAAGGTGGTTATTTACTTATTTTAGCTACATGTACACAACATTTGGTATATTGTGTATTTATTTATTTACTTTAAAAAAAATTTTTTTTAAAGATGACTGGTAAGGGGATCTTAACCTTTGACTTGGTGCTGTCAGCACCACGCTCTCCCAAGTGAGCTAACTGGCCATCCCTATATAGGGATCTGAACCCTTGGCCTTGATGTTATCAGCACTACACTCTCGCAAGTGAGCCATGGGCCAGCCCATGTCTTTATTTTTTAT